ATATATGGTTACGACGAAAATGGTGTCGTGCGGGAGATCAAGCTTACTGATGAAAATGAAAATGTGAAAGTAAAAATTGTCTGGACTGTTACACTCGCTAATAAGAAAGCAGCACACACAAGATTCTCCGGTATCAAAAAGTATAAACTAGATGACAAAAAAAGAAACCCTAGTATGTAATTCTGCCAATCTTTAAAATTTTGCAACTGTACAATATTAACTGAAATTGCAAAACTATCTTTAGATTGGGAGTATGATAGGTCAACATTGATAGCCACTGAAACGCAAGATTTATCCTCCGATGATGGAAATAAGGAGAAAGATTTCGAGGGGTATGTTTACCGCACCAATAATGATCCTGGACATAAGTTAGAATTGGGAAAGATGATAATGGAGAAGGAAGGGAGTTTGTTAATTATTGGTGGCAAGGGAAAGTCTGGACGTGTCAAAAAAGGTTTGTCTATCTTTTACTTATAGAAGTCTTGCGTATATACTCAAATCAATTATTCATGTCACTTTGTTTTATTCTCATATTCTATAGATGTTCTTATTACTGAATATGCTAACAACGATTATTGGTATGATGATACTTCCGATGGCTCCATAGATGCTACCGTTACCATCACTATTAATGGAAGTGAGAAAACTCTCAAAAATAAAGGTAATACTTATTATCTATAACCGTAAAATCGAAGCGTTTAGTGACTTATATGTGAATTATGCCTGTTAAATAAATAATTTAGAAAGCAAGTCATGGGTTCTTGTAGCACCTCCAAAATATGCACCAGGTATTCCCAATCTTGTATCATTATATCAAGTTATCAAGGAAACGCAGGGACTTATTCCGATGAACGCAAGTAATGTATGTACATATTATTCGAGCTGTGCGATAGTATCATTACTCAGAAAATTGATATTTATACCCTGATTTCCAACATTTTGCAAGGTGGAATATTACCGTGACATTCGTCCAATATTTGATACAATTCATAAAAACTCTTGGGTTAATCTTATGGCTTTCAATGGTCATGGACTGAACTCGAAAGGTTATTTTTTGAGACCAGAGTTGGAAAAACGTCTGAAAGATAATACAGAACAAGAAGAAGGCTTAAGGTTTGTTCTTCGTTCA